TATATATATATATATATATATATATATATATGTATATGTTTATTGTCATTACACTGTCACAAGTGCAGAGCAAGGAAATGAAATGAACTCTCTGAATTTAACCCATCCCTTTGGGGAGCAGTGAGCTGACATTGTGTGGGGAGCAGTGTGGGGTTAAGGGTCTTGCTCAGGGACCCAGAGTGGCAGTCTTCTGTAGCGGGGCTCGAGCCCAGAACCTCTGGATTCCAAGCGCAATGCCCTCACCACTAGGGTGCCACTCCCCTGCAGAGTGTGGCCTGAATCTCAACACTATCATGCTAAATTAGAAATATGTCACAACTGAGGTAAAGATAAGTAAGTGACAGTTTAAGATCTTTATTTGTAAAACTTGTTAAGAAGTAAGATAGTAATTTCTCAAACTACTTTATGGAGGTCTGTCACATAAAATAGTATTAATATACATTTAGATTTGTGGTCATAACATCAGAAAATGGAGAAAATATTTCATATTATTGTACAGTTTTACTTTTGTAAGGCATTTATTGACTTGAATGATCATTTTTTATTTATTTCTTATATATGAAAATATAAATCCTGAGTTTTAAAAGATCTGTTGGCGCTCATTCTGGAATAATATTCATAAATGTTTCCTTCTTTTATTCAACTGTTGTTTTCCTTTGACCTACATTTGCTTCATATCCTGGCTTTTTTCCATGTTTCTGCTTCTTTTTCTCCACTTATATCGCCTCCATTTCCGTGTTAAGGCTTGAATAAGGGCCAGAAACCATAACGAGGTCAGGGGTCTCTTCCTGCCAGGACAGGATGCAACCGCCATCAAGGTTACTTTTGTGTATTGTTACACTTGTAGTGCTTCCGCTGCCAGCTGCTTCCATGTTTTGACACCCAAACCTTTGGACACCGGACAATGAACTTAAAATGGCGCCGGGGCCCTTGAACGGGGGGGTCCCAAGCAGGGAAACCATCCTTGTATCAGCCAGCTGTGGCCTTTTGGCGGCTTTTTCTGGATAGGCGATGAGATCTGAGCCCCCGTGTTTGTCACCCTCTGGGCTGCTTCCATGACATTATTCCCATCCTGGGGACTGGGAACAGCAATGCTGCATCCGTTCGCTTTTTGCTCCTGTGGGTCCAGGTTTGCAGCTGTGAACCGGTCGGGTTCTGTGTGATACAGATGCTCCCCCCCCTAAAAAAAAGACTCCTTAAAATCTGGCTATGTATCAAAACATTTCATCAGATCTGCATTTTGTTAACACTGAATATATGCTTCTTTTTTGTGGGGCAGAATCCTGCCAACAAAAAAAGAACACAAAGATAAAGAAAACTGTACGGTGAAAAGTCAAGGATCTTTTTAGTATTATAGAATAAAAGAATAACTCACAAAAAATGTCACCAGTGGCTCTTTTCCACTTGTCAAGATTGGAATTTTTCTGTAAAATTTGTTGCTAATTGATTATTTCAACTGTGATTGTTCTGAAACTGCGCTTCAAAATGAAGAGGTAATTGCACTGTTGGCCACGAGAAGTAAAGTTTAAAGAAAATTAGGTCAGAAGGATGAGCGGAGCGACTTCTGGCTTCAGGCTGGTGGATTACAAATACTAAAAAGATCAGAGAGAAAAGGAAACGGGTAAAAACGGGGGTAGGATTGAGGGTGAAGGAAAGGAAAAGCCGTTAAAACAAGAAAATGAATATAGTAGAAAAATTAAAAAACGCTTCATTTTTTATTTTTTTTTTTACATCAATGATGCTCCGCTTCTGGGTTCAGCCTCTCCTGCTCTGTTTAGACTTGAAAAGAATTGCCATGTGATCATAATGCTTCAAAGTGATCTCCAGCCTTCCTTCCCACTGGAAAAACACTTCAGTGGTTTATCTGCATGGTTGCTTTTGATCTTTCTCCTCATCCCACAATCTCATAGTGTGCATGTACTAACAGGCTGGCTTCCATCTAAATACAAGCCAAAATGAAACCAGTGCTGTCACCATGCTGCTGCTGGTGAATAAGACCAAAGTTTGAATCGATTCTGGGGACGAGGCTACATTTCAGAGCTTAATTACTCCCTTCGAAGAGGGGGCATTATGAACTTTTGAAAGGGGCACTGTTATTGGTCATAGGTTTGGCAAATAGCAGGGGAAATAAAAGACGAAAACTGTCTGAACAAGCCATTAAAAATCGACAAAGCTTTGTTTCTGGCATAAAAAAGGAATTTATTGAGACTGAGTCCACTTCCCTAATACAAGATCAATGTCATGCACTGATGCCTGAAAATGCTGGAGCTTTTAAGTGCAATAAAATAACAGACCGCATTTCCACTCACCGATCTGTGATGTTCCTGATGCTGCACTTTTGTTGTCTACCCATAGAGCTGCAATCTGCAAATCTTTCTCCTGTTAAAAAGGCTTTTATATAGAGCCATGCTAAACGAATGCTAGTATGTTTGCTTTTTGTTTTTGATGGGACTTCTGCATATCTGGTTGATAAAGTATTCTAAATACCTTTATAGCTAATTTGGAACCAACAAGACATGGGCTAAAAACAACTTCTCTGCTTCATAAACTGAATATGATGCTTTAAACACCATAAAATTTGATGATGACTGTTTCAGCTGCTCATTACACAACTTTCTCCTTACCCAGATGGTTGTCGGTAACAGATCAGCTCACGTGACTCAATGACAGGAAGTGTCTCTCTGTGTTAGAGGAACCCAAGATTGATTAGTTCAACACAATAATCTGCACTGTCCTCTTATCGGGTTTTGCAAGTTGTGCAGACGAAAATAGGTGCCTATAGGTGTGGCTGATATTTAATCCCAAAAAGTACAGAGAAGACACCTTTTACAGGTTGAACTTATAAAGTCTAAACAGAAATGATTTACAAATATCTTGATCAGCATTTATATTCAATAGTTCTCACTGGATAAAGGATCAGTGTCACTGACTTACAGAATTAAAGAAATAAAATCACCAAGGGCAATGATTAACTTAAAAATGTTAAAAATTCTTTCACAAAATACCACATTTACCTAATATTGTGTTTTAAGCTTAACAGAATAGATAAATATAAACTGATTACTTAGCATTAGTTGAATCAGAAGCATGTGCAATTTATCAAGCGAATTAGTCGATTAGTTGTTGATGCTTGTTATGGAGTTTCTGCAGAATCGCAGGCAGGAAGCGCAGAAATAGTTTAACACAAAAATAAATAAATGAATAAAACTGTACAAATCTGTTCTGGGGCATTGAAATCAACCGGAACATCCGTTTTAAAGTCTCATTTTCCTTTGTAAGAATGCCTCATAAAACAACAATCTTATGTTGATATGTCCTAAAGGCAGTTTGAAATAAGTGACTCCTTATTAAGATGAAATGACACATATACCTGATTAAACTGGCCATATTCAGTAGCAAAGACAGAAAGAAGTGCCAATCTGATAAATTCTTTATATTAGGCTTTCTGATGTTGTAGAAGTCCTTGTCCGACATTAAGGTAGTCATTGATTCCCTGAGTTTGGGTTATGACCCCATTTGGGTCACAGATCAGCATGATGCGGAGAAATATAAAAAAATAAAAATGATAATGAAACATTTAAGGATGATAGAATATCACTTGAAAAAAGACTAAACCAAATGTACATTGGTTGTTAGTGATTTTTTTATTACTATTATGTCTATGGTTAGAAATGTTGGTATTCTGACCAAAGGTTTGGGTCAGGAGAACCTTGACTGTAAAAGATTGTTCATTCAGACTTTATACAAAGCCTAAATATGGTTTAAAATTAGTTTGCAAAGTTCTGATCTGATTTTTTTTTAAAGAGAAAAAACATTTTAAACAATCTAATACTATGTAACTTTGCTGCTATTAACCAGCTGCAGCGTCTCTGCCTCTAATGGTCGGCATACGCTGCTGCTTTGGGCCGTCGTTCACAAAAGAACCCGATTGCAGGAGTTTCAGGGCGAAAGCTTTGATCGCGGTTCCAAATCTGCAGTGTTTCATTGCACTGTGACACAGCATCAAGAACAGACATGTTTAACATCTTGTGACCAAAAATAACCTGATAAATATTTAGTCAACTATTTAGACTATTATTTAGATTGAATATCCCACTGTGTGACAGCTGCTGCACCCTATGTGTACTAATCAGCCTAAATAAATGACATATTCACTCAAGTACATGTGGATTTTGCAAAGATATATGTAGTGTTTGTGTGTTTTATTTACTTATTCTTTATTTAACTAGACATATAAACTGAGATATAATATAATGAGTCATTATAGAAGCTAATGAAACAGCTCCATCTCTTTCTGTAAGAAAGTGATTTTTATTTATATAGAACCTTTCACAGACATAGAGGTGCTTCATAACATTTAAATACAAATAAAATACATTTACAATCACAAAAGACATGGTCATAAAACAACCCTTAATCTACGGGAATTATAATGCTTTTTTAAACAAATAGGTTTTCAGTTCACTCTTTAAAACATCAACAGAATCAAGTAAGCGCAAGGAAAGCGGAAGATCGTTCCAGAGCGCCGGAGCGACCGCCTGAAAGGAGCGATCTCCCATGGTCCTGTAACGAGTACGAGGGACCATGAGCAGGATCTGGTCCTGAGACCTCAGGAGAGGGGGTATAAGGATACAACAAGTCTCTAATGTAGGAGGGAGCCTGACAGTAAAAAAGGCCCTGAAAGTTAGCACCCGGATTTTAACTGGTACCGAAAAGGGACTGGGAGCCAATGAAGAACTTTTAGAATCGGCGTAATATGAGCCCTTCTGTTTTGTATGAGTCAGTAACTTCGCCGCCGAGTTCTGAAGACTGTAAGACTGGCCTCTGAAGCTGACCTCTTTTCCTGAGCCGTGACCTCGTCCACATCCTCACTATCCTTCTCCTTCTTCTCAGATTTGTTAGATTGCACTGATATGCTGCTATCAGAACGTCTGCATTATTTGTTGTGTTGGTGTCTGACTGCACTGATAGCGTACGCTGATGTGGCTGCTTACTGCCTTACATCACAAATTAGTTAGTAGTGAGCATCGATTTGCACACATCAAAACTGACTTTGCACCAAAGTAGATTATATTTCTGCATAGTGTATCTTGGCCTAGTGAGATTACTGGGATTGGGTGTGACCGATTAAAACAAAGTGGCACATAGTTGTAAAGTGAAAGAAACCGGATCATGTTTTTTTTAATTTTCCTACCCCTTCACTCTGATGCTCCTAAGTAAAATCCAGTGTAACCAGTCGCCATCATGAGGCATGAGATAGAGGCCAACTTTAAATCAGCTGTTTTTTTTTTAACTTGTTTTAACTTCCTCAGCTGTGACACATATTTGTTTAAAGGATACAGGAAGCAATGTACATCCTGTGAACAGAGCCGGACTCACTGGCTCTTCTTCTTCTTCTTCTCTCACCTCTTTGCTCTGTTGCTTCAACAATAATTTTTGTAACTCGTTCTGCTTCTGTTTCCTGTGAAGCACTGCATGCTGCTTGGAGGAAAGAAGAGCACAGACATTCCCCTGGAGGGTTACCTTCTCACTCCAATTCAGAGGATCTGCAAGTACCCTCTGCTGCTGAAGGTACTGTCCCAAAGCTGCTACAGAACCAAGCATTACCCAACAAGAACACTTGCTTTGCTCAATATGTCTGCCCAGAAAATCTGAAAACGGAACAAACATGTTTGAGTTCAGGTCATGAGTCATTTATAGACTTAGTTAGATGGGCACACATCTACCTACTCTGTAGGTCGTAGCTTTGGAACGCCAGACAGTAAAGGTCACGCATCTAGATAACCTCTCTTTTTCACCTCCTTTTGAAAATACCACAGTTTAATTATATGAACTTCCTCTTTCCATGATATAGGAACTACTTAAAAGGACTCCTAAGAAGCATTCAGATTACCCTGCTGTGGAGGAGGCTCTGCAGGGTATGAAGGCTGTTTGCTCCAACATCAATGAGACCAAGAGGCAGATGGAGAAACTGGAGGCTCTGGAACAGCTGCAGTCCCACATCGAAGGCTGGGAGGTGAGAGAAGGAGCGAAGGCAGCCGTCATGACGGCCTGTAACACCTAGAGTGGAAGGGAATCAGAAAAGGGGGCTCTATTCGAAAGGGTCCCTGTGATAAAACCACAACAAGAATGTGTTTGAAAGACCTAAACTAAGCTGTCCTCTAGGTTTACTGATTTAGAATTAAACAACCAAAGCACTGCTTTTAGAGCAGGGGGCCAAAGACACCAGTGAAGGGTCCGGTGCATTTTTTACGCCTCCCTCACTCACCACAACAGAGTCCTTGTCTTAGAGGGCACCAGTGGGGACAATCCACCTACACAGGGTGCTGAGTGGGATGCCAACAGGCTCACTGCTCAATCAAAAGGGACCTAAGAAGCAGAACCTGCATGTCTGAGGAGGTTTATATGTGCTACCTTTGGACATCCCTCTGTTGCTGACCACACTGCATTCCTGCCCATCACCACCCTTCCTCTCATTCTTACACACTCAGGATCAAAATAATCTGTAAAAATGCGTCATCCTGCAAGGCTTGCTAGAGAGATGAGGTTCTTTCAAACAGGGTTGTGCTGATTTAAAATGTTAAAAGATTGTAGTCGACATTTTAATTGCCTTTAGAGTCCCATGTTGGAGATTAGCATGGTCACTCTGGCTAGCAACATTAAAAAGAAGGCATTCTCTATGATCTGTAAGAATGCAAATCCTAACTTTAATCAGTTGAGGTTACTTTACGGCTCCCAATGTTTCCAGATCCAACATGTTCCATCATAGAAGTGTGTTGAAAAGGTCTAAAGCAGAGGTCACAGATTAGCGGTCTGGATCTGGACCCAACCTGATTTAAAACATTTATAAATTACCGCATGTTGTCCGAAGGCAGTGTCTAATTTCACTTGTGCCGCTTCTCCTGTTAATATGGTAAAGCCCTTCAAAGCATCCAGGACCAGGCTTTTATTTCAGTGTTAAATTCTGTTCAAAGTAAGAGATTATAATTACAAATGTCTTCAGACCTTTACTGGTTGTTGATCTTCTTTATTTGGACCCCACTGATTTTTAATTGGTTACCCCTGGTCTAAAGTTGATTGATCTAGCCTTCCTGTTATTGCTTAAGGTTCGTGCTCTCCTTCAACCTAAAGGAGGCGCAGAAATGTATTGATGCAGATGGGAATGATTCATTTGAAAAAAGGGGCATGTTATGTCAGCAGCAGTCTTCTTCGGCTTCTCTAAATGAATATTTTACTCCTTTGTAGAAAAAGTTTCTGCCAAACCAAAGACTTTTTATTTAGAACTATTAGTTGTAATGCAGAATAAATCTTATATTTAGCTAAAACAGCAATAACGCTGTGTTTATGCAGTTAGTAGACTCCAAATGTTCAGATTTAGTTTACTTTTCAACAACAAAGCAGAACTTTAGAGAGGCACTTTACGCCGACCCTGCAGCCTCTGACCTAACTGCATTAAACTCGCTCTTCTTTCCCCTTTTGCAGCCACTCTCTGAGGCTGATCACCTCCAGCCCTAATGGAAGAGGCCGCCAGTCGTGCCGAATCAGGCCCAGATGCATTACTGGCACTTGAATACCCTATGCATGAAAACACAGGCAGCTTCACACCCAACCACATACATTGAACTTGCCCAGCTGAAGACGTGTCTGCAGAATGTGGGACATGCATTTTGTTTCTGTGCAGATGCAACCAAACCACAACAGTTTCTTTTTATTAGTTTGGTGGTGCTGATCTGAGTTTGAGTAGCTTTTTGAAATAAGTAAGATATTCATTGAAATTTTAAACTTGGAAAAACTGAAACATAAATCAGAGACAAGGTAATGCATTGAATTATGGAGGCTTCAGAGCGTGTCTAGCTAAACATAGGTGACAGGGGCAAGGGGTGAATCCTGGCAGGGGTCCCCGTTAAGATGACTGAAACAAGTCCAGGGCTGAGTGTGGGGGATCCACACATGGATGCGTTTAGTTCCAGATGATTTGGAGGCGAATGAACCATTTAACAATGAGTAATGAGCAGTCTTTTATCTTTATTATCTCATTCGTTCGCAGCCTTGTGTCGACACGTTTTTCAGCTGATCCCCTTTTTGCGTTCGAATAAATGCCTTCTGGTTTCGCCGACCGTTCTGCTTTTGCAAGAGGATGTTTTATTATTCACAACTTTGGAGGGAACATGTTAATGAACGACTGCTTGTGTTTTTATGTGTGAAAAACCATTTCCAGTCCCCAGCTGAAAACGCTGAAAATCACTTTCTAAAAATAATTCTCTTCCATCACAGCAAATGGTTTTGCAGTTCAAACCACATAATAAAAAAAAAATGATTAGACACCATTATGCAGGCAGCTGGTCAAGTGAGAAGTCAGAAACTTCTTTGATCCTGATTGACAGCCTAATTTATTGACTTTCAATAAGATTATTTATCTTCTACGTCGCTCTTTCATAATGTTTATGAAAATGATTTCATGCTAGAATGTGTTTAACAGCAATCTACCTTCGACCATCTGATGTGGGTATGGTGATTGTAACAGGATTCTGGGCTTGCCTTCAACAGACTGTCTTAACAGGTTGTGGTTTATTCGATAGTTTACCAGAAAAGGCTTTTATACTGAGATACAATCATATCCTGTGAAGGTGCAACGCTGCAGAGTGTCTAAATAGATAGATCACAGCTGACTGAGAGAGTTTTTCCTTCTGCAGTAAAAGGGCACCTCCCTGGTCCGAATAAATATATATTATATGATATATATTTCTGCTTAATTGTTCTGAGAAGACTTTAGTTCTTCTTAAAATTTGGTGCTGCCATTTCTTTTGTTCCATTGTTGTTGGAATATTAAATTTGAATATGAAAAAACTGGAAAAAAATGTAATCCAGAAGTTAAACTTTTTAATTCAAAATGGTTTTAAGATTCCCTTTCCTGTTTTCTATAATTTGATATAAATAAATATTTTTCTTTTGCGTATTATGTAAATCACATTCTATTCAAATTGTGATTACAGATCACAATTCTTTTAACTTCAAGCCAAATCCAAGCGATTTTTCAATACTTATATTGATAAAAATGTCGCTGCTAGTATAAAACCGCAAAGTTACTTTCAAAGTCTTTTATTTTTGTTAAAGAGTTCTTTTTTCATTTTTTGCAAATTCTTATTTACAAATCATGATCTTTGCTTGCAACAAAAATGGAACAAAGATAACTCCATAAATGTCATGCATGTTTAAACACGGACATCTAGGGAGAGGAAGAAAAGTGCTTTGCTTCGATTGTTAAAGTATTCCCATCAGACTGTTTAGAACCATGAATTTTGCAAACTGGATAATTTTATTTTAGATTTAAAATGTGAAGAGGGCAGCATGGATTTGCATTGACCCTTTAAAAATACACCTACACAGAATAAATAAATGCATTCTGCAGTTGCCTCAATAATCAAATCTAAATGCTGAGGGGCTCTCTGAATTTTATAAGGTATGTTTGTAAATGCTGTAATCTAAAGCATTATGAAGACCAAGAACACATTAGGCAGTTCAGGAATAGTGCTGTGGAGAAGTCTGAAAGGTTGTTAGACTGTAAATCAGTTATCCCAAGCTTTTGAGGCGTTAGAGCCTCTGAAAATGAGCTGAGAATGGCAAAGCTCCAAAAAATGTCCGTCAAGTAATCTAACAGGCTATCTAAAGCAAAAAGTGACAACTTTATAGTAAGATGCACAACTCAGGTAGGAAAAAAGCTTTTCTTCTTAGATGAGAGCCGAATCAACAGAAGCAACTGGGAGGCTGGTCAGAGCTGGTCAGCTGGAAAGCTTCAGGTGTTTGGCTACTTTTTCAAGGATCTACTCAAAAGGAACAGCTTTGGTTGAGCCTTCCCCCTTTTAATAGAATCAAATTAATCATTATGATTTGATCACACCCGTTTTTGAGATACCAGAATAGTTCTTCTTCTGTTTTTTTCTTACCAGCAGCAATGCACATGTCCGAAAATAGAACAGCTGATGTTAAGGTTTTATCTACAAGAAGCAAACGATGTAGTTGAATAGGGACAGCTGCGCTCAGCCTTTCCTATCATTCACAACAGAACAAAAACAAGTTGCTGCGGGTGTCAAAGTTTAATTTTCATATTGTTCTGTTGAGGTTGTGAACTCTTTAGGTTTTGGACACATGCAGCTGTGTTGTGGCGCGCTGAAATAAACCACAGCTGCTGACAGTGAGGTTTATACTGCAGATCAGTTCTTCTATTTAAATTAGTCATTTATTTATTTATTTGTTCTTCTGCAGGGAACCAACCTGACAGATATCTGCACGGAGTTGCTCCTTCATGGAAATCTTCTCAAAATCTCAGCAGGCAACATCCAGGAGCGAGTCTTCTTTCTGTTTGACAACCTTTTGGTTTACTGCAAAAGGAAGTCCAGGTGAGATATTCAGAAAACTGGAAGACAACAAGAAAGTGTTCAGACCCGTCCAGACATGAATAAAAATCCGTGCAAATGTCCGCATTAATGCACTCTCTGTATTTACCATGCAAGCAAAATATGCACCTCCATGCATATGAAGCTCCTACCCCTGCATCTGCTTGAATGTTTGTATTTTTTGGGGAGTAGTATAGTGCATGGAGTTGTTTCTTCGTACGGCATAGTTCTGGCATCAGCGGACGTTTCCCCTGAGTGTAACCGCAGTGTTGTCCCCTCTCCAAGGGTATCTGGAAAGAAGTCCACGAAGAGGACCAAGTCTATCAACGGGCCTCTCTATGTGTTCAGAGGTCGGATCAACACAGAAGTGATGGAGGTGGAAAATGTGGAAGATGGAACAGGTTCGTGTTTGCACAGCAGAGCATTAGCTCTGCAGAATGTTTGTAGATCTGTACGTTATGAGGATGTGTTAAACCATCTATCAGAAGTTTCTGCTCTTTTTGCTATAAAGCACAAACAAATCTGTTGCTTTACTATGTTTCTAGAGAGGAAGAAAATAATTTAAAGGCAACAGCCTCTCCTTTCAATTTGCACACAGTGCCCTCACTTCTTAAGTTTCCATCTCGGTTCATGCAACCGCTCTGTTTTTAGCCCACTGGTTCGATTTGAATCGGGGCTTGTTGACAGTTTGGGTGGAGTACCACACTTGCACCTAGTCTTGAACAGGATGTAGCTTGCAGCTTTCTGAACCTTTTGATCTCACTTACTAAGCAACTGGTTCCTGAATTGATACGTATCTGCAAACCTTAATACAGTCTGATAAACTCATGTGCTTCAGCTCAGAAGGTGCAGCTCCTCAGGAAGCTGGTAGAGATCCGGTCTTCTCTCCTGCTATTAGCTACTGTGGTTTGCAGGGTTCGATGCAGTTCTGTCCTCCGGTGTAGAAACACTTGATCTTCCTCTCACATGTTTCCTCTTTTTTTGTAAAATCTCTCTGTCTCTTGGTCTCCTTTCTCTATGCTGGCAGTATGTTTCTGCAAGCTCACATGACTCTTTCTCTTTGTCTTTGTGCTGGTGTACTGGCTGTCACATTCTGGTTTCTGAAAGGCAAACCACAAAGAAAAACAAGCCTTACTTGCAAAGTCCAAGGGTCCCACATTCAGATTATCAGATCTCAGAGCGTGAAAGTTGTGAAACAAGGGTGTGACTGGAAACAGAAATGAGAGAGAGAGAGAGAAAAAAAGAGAACTTCATTGTCAACTTACTGGATAAAGTTTTTGAGTTTGCCTGATCTGTTTACTGAGAGTCTAAGAGGGGAATCCATCCTTTTTTTTCTCTCTCTAGAAGATCACAGTTTCTGCACAGCTTCTGTCATCCAAGCAGAGCAGGAGCGACTCCCAGCAGGCCCCAACGTATCAAATCTATTTATATGACCTTTGAGCACGAGACTAATGCACCCCATTACCAATGGCCATTCATTATTCAGAGTCCGCTCACCTGCAGCTCGATGGATGGAGGAATTAGAAAGGGCTACCAGGAGAGATTCTGATGAGTCAGTGGAAGAACAGCCCTTTACTGCTTTTATATTGCTTCCTGATTATATTTTTTATTGTCATTTATGTTCATCTCTCAGGCTTAACAGCTCTTCAAAGATGTTTTTTATGTTTAGATCATTAGAAGCATCATTTGATTAGTCACATTATTTTCCTTACTTAAACTTAAGGTAATGTTTGCATTGGAAATATCTTTTGGAACTTCATTCTCTACATCTCCTGCTTTATAATGAAATAATGCCTCATTTTTATGCTATACAAGTTTTTTTTTTACCTTTTTGTAAGATATTTGGCTTTATTTATATATCTCACAGTCCAAAAAAGTCCAGCTAACTAAGTCTGATGATCTTAAATAGTCAAAAAGTCTTCTTGATAATTTTTTTCAGATTGATATACTAATCAAGAGCAGATTCTATTATATTATTAATCTTCTTTTCAGAAAAATTGCCTAAAAAATAAGTGCAATAATCTGCCTGTGCAGTAAGACAATCGCACTTGATAAGAATTATTGAAATCATCATATATGTTGTGTCAAAACAAGAACTTTTACCAAGTGAGATTATCTTACAGTAGATGAGTATTTGCATGGGTGTTACGATACGATACATGTCACTATTCTTGGGTCACGATACGATATTATCGTGATATTGCTATATTACTATATATTACAATATTTTTTCCCAACTATCAAATTGAGCAAGTGCTGTATATGTTCATCAGATGATATT